TTAGTATTGTTAATTAATATTGTAACTGAAATAATATTAGAATTGTGATTAAATTAGTTTTCGAGTGCTAAATTGAGTTTATCAATTTAATTTATCTTTCCATATATTATACAAAATGTGGGTATTATAAAGGAAATTTCAGATGAATTTATTGATGAAAACAATCGTTGAGTTGTATTACAGTGAGATCAGAAGCCTTGCTGAAGCCAATGAGCACGTCGAAGGAAACGATTATTTCACCATTGTTACCATCATCCGATTTGCATGAATTGAGGACAGAAAGTTTGTTTGTATTATTCTTGAACACTTGTTTATATAATCGCATTAATGTGGATTATAATCAACTGTACGTAAGAGTAAATTAGATTATATAATCGTCAACTATAACAAATAGAGTTTTCAATATTTTCAATGCAAATTGAATATATAAGCTAACTAGTTTAAAAGAGAAAGAGAGAAAAAAATGAGCGTGCGAGAAAGAGGGGAAAAAAAGAGAAAAGTTCCCTAACTCTGTATTCAATTGAATGTCACGACAGCAATTAATTTTATTTATTTTTATTGATTTATTTAATAAAAGGGTCAAATTTTTTTCAACTTTTTTTTAATCTATTAATTTTGGTGCATTTTATGAAAGGAAAATATTAATTGCATTTCTTTTTGGTAATAGAGAAAGGTTTAGTGAGCATTTTTTCAAGGGGATAATTTGTTTTGAGAGTGGCTGACGAAAATTGATTTTTACTACTTGTAGTTAGTTGATGTATTCGATCGACACATTAATTGTCTGCTAGTGATATTTAATTTACTGTAAGATTGTCTGACGAAACTTGACTTTTACTACTGATTTGAAAATAGTTTCGAGAAATAAATTACGTCAGATGATTTTTACCATTGACTTTAAAGCAGTCTGACTAAATTTATCCTTTACTACTGATTTTAAAATTTCTAAACGACTATTTCAAAATCACAGGATAGTTTCGGTATTTCTGTAGTTCAGATATAAAAAAATACAATCAAAATCCCTTTTTGATTTATCAAACATTTTTATTTCTATATTCATAAAATTAATCGTTTTTTTTATAAAAAAAAATATTCTACAAAACTGATTTATCAAAAATGACAGAAAAAAAATTCACCAATCGTTTGTCTTCATTAACAAAAAAAAAATTCTTCTTACCTAATATCTTGAAATTCACAAAGAAGGATAAATTCCAAGAAATGTTAATCATTCATGCTTGAATCATGTTGAATGATTTATTAGTTGAGAAGAAAGCTCAAAGGTAAAATCACTGTCAGAATTTCACCGCAACTACGTTGATATGACCCATTTATATATGATATTTATATATATGTATACATATACTGTGAAAAGTTGCCAGGCGAGAAGCATCAAGGTAAACTTTGAGAAAACTTTAGCCTATGCGCTTGTGGATAGCCACTGAACCGGAACAAGTTTTCAATGAAAAATACTGTGTGTTGAAGAAGTCAAGGTGCCTTTTTGAGAAGCGATTGTACCACTAACTTGAAACTTTCCTATTCTCGTCACTCATATTTTTTTTCTTCTCTCTTCTTGCCTTCACTTCCCTATCCAAAAAACTAACTTCTACAAGACACGTCATCCTCTTGACGATAAACGAAAACTTATACTTTTTTATGTATAAAAAATAGGTTGAAAAAAAATTTTCAAATAATACCAAACTACAAAAAAACAAACTTCCTTCTTTCTTTTTAAAGCCAACTTGGAGAAATTATTATTTTTTTTAATTCTCCAAATAGAATTTTCATTTTAAGTCTTTCTAATTACTTTAAACGGGAATAAATAATTAGTTTTGAAGAATTTAAAATACAATTAGCATTTATTTAAACGGTTTATAATGCTCTCAGTAAAGTGAAATTCTCAAGTTGTAATTATTTTAGTAAATAGAGGAAGAGCATTGGGAAAAAAATTTACATAGAGTCTTTGAATGTAAAAAGGAGGAATATTTTCTTTAATTTTTTGAAGAGAGCTTGCAAATGAGTAATTTTCTTATCTAATGTTTTGAATATGCAGTTAAGGAACGATATTCATTTGAAATAACTGTTTATACTAATTTCCCTTCTTGTTTTTAACGACACTTCTGGTTATTAGAATCGTTAGAATTTCAAATTTTCGTTGAATTTTTTTGAACAATTTAATTTTAATTTTTAATTAATTAATTTTTAATTTTTTTAATTTAATTTTTTCTACTACGGTATAGTAGTTATTACAATATAGTACCTACTAGTAAATAGTAAATTGTACTATAAAGTTCTTAATACTGCATAGTAGATATAATAACTATTCTTACTACGTTATTATATTTTACAAAATTAAATAATTAGTCATTATAATTTTTCCATAAGAATTAAGATTATCAAAAATTTCAACTGTAACTTATTCAATATTACTTTCATCACTTTAATTCAATTATTGTTTTCCAGAATTTTCAACTAAAATTCTTCTTTAAATAAATTATTTTAAATAATTTAAAAATAAAATTCTTTGAGAATTTTCACATCTATTTGTTTACAAAATTAAATTTTTATGAAATTTCAATTATTCGGAAATTCTTCAATTAAAAATATATTAGAAAATAAAAACTTTAAATAACTTAAAAAAATTCAATTAAACTTTAAAAAAAATTAAATCTACATAATTTTCAGTTAAAAATATGAAAAATCCAAACATTCAAAAATTATAAATTGAAACCATTTCAAAATTCAATTATTTCTAAAAATTCACTTTATATTACTTTCTCTCTAAATTTGAATTTGTAAAAAAGTTTACTAATTGGAATAAATAACTGACTTTTTGCTTTTGAATTAGTACATTTTACTATTAAATTAGCAAAAGCAGAGTTCAATAATTATTTAAATACAAAAATAAATAATTTATTGAACAATTGAATGTTTTTTAAAATTTAACTCTCATTAAGAATTTTATCAACAAATTTTTAAATAAGTAATTACAATTTTTGGACGAATTTTAATAACATTTTTAAGTATAATTTCATTTTTCGAAAAATCAGATTAAAATTGTATTAAAAATAATTGAATCTCTGTAAATAATTTGATTGGATTGAGCAAAGTTTTTGAAAATAATTGAAATTTTGCCAAGAATTTTATTAAAATTTTGGAAAATAATTGAATTTTGGAGAAAAAGTCTAATATTTATAAAGATAATTAAAATAATTGAATTCTTGAGACGACTTTTTTAATAATATTTCTTTTTCAATACCTAATTAAATTCTTTTGTAAAATTTTATTAAAATAGTAGATATTGAAAATAATTGAATTTTAATAAATTACTGAAATTAACTAAATTTCTACGAAGAATTTTATTAAAATTATTTTAAAAAAAATTGAATTGTTAAAAAGAATTTCATTTCAATGTTTGAAAATAATTTAATTCTTTTAAAAAAATGTAATTAAGAATGAATTGACAATCATACTTCAATTCTAATAAATAAATTATAGGAAGGCTTTTTAAAATTACGTCTGACAATAATTGACTTTGACTACTAATGCAAAGATTGCAAAAAATTGTCAGTCTGAGTAATACGTAATTTTTTTACACTTGACAGTATTTTGTGAGTTAGAATAATTTTGTCTGACTAAAATTAACATTAACTATACTAATATTAACAGTAAAAAAAAATTGTCAGAGAAACTAACACTCACTACTAACACTACTAACACTCACTACTGTTAAAAAAATTTTAAGAGGGTAAATTTTGTCTGATTATAACTAGTCCATACTACTAATATAAAAAATTTGAAAAGTCAGTCCTTAAAAATACTTTACTACGAATTTAAACATTAAAATTGATTGTAAAATTTGTAGAGTGTCTGGATAGAAATAACTTTTACTGCTATTTACAAAATTTGACGTGATGGAAACTGGTCTGAGCGTAACTGACCTTTACTACTAAAAATACATTTTCTAGAAATTGAAAATTTCATCAGTCTAACTGAAATTGACGCTTTCCACTTATTCAGGAAAATGGAAATATTCGAAAGGTCTGCCTATAACTGACCTTTACAATTCAGAGACAATTTATTGGAATTGGGAATTTAATCTGTCTGCCTAAACTTGACATTCTCTACTGAAAGTAATTTTGAATTAATATAATATTTAATAATAATTAAAATAATAGTTATAATAATAGCTTTATTATTATTATCAGCATTATTATTTAATTTAATAATACTATTATTATAAATAGTAGTAAGTCTACTGCTAGTAGTATATATTATAGTAGTTACTAGTATTGTTTAACCAAAACTAACAAAAATTAAAAAAATTCATGAAGCCTGATTAAACGTTTGCTTGAACTACTGCAAAAACAATCTCAGTGGCAGAATGTTTTGTCTGACCAAAACTAATATTCACTACTTATACAAACATTAAAAAATTCGTAAAGTCTGATTAAACGTTTACTATCACTACTGTAGACAACAGTATCAGAGTCAGAATTTTGTCTGGCCAAAAATGACTTTTACTACTCATACAAAAAGTAAAAAATTCGAAGTCTGATGAAACGTTTAGTTTTACTACTGAAATGAAAATTAGTAAAAACTTACTTACAAGAAAGATTTTATTAACAATGCTATATGCATTGTTAATAAAATCTTTCTTGTAAGTAATTTTTTCTTATCACATATTTCAAATTTCCAGCAAAAAAAAAAAAAATAAATAAAAAAATTCGAAGAAAACAAAATGAATTTTTCACTTGGAAAATGTAATTTTTTTCTATTCACTTGTATATAAGGAAATGTTTTGCGGTAATAATACTTGTTTCTGGGACATATTTGAATGAATTTTAAGGAAGATTATGGTGAATTTCCGTTTCATTCATTATTTTTCGTTTTAGCATTGTGCAGAGATTAGAGTAAAAAGGGAAACGGAAGTTGGGTAGGATTAATGGCGACACGTTAATTTTTCTTTTTCATTTTATTTTTGTGCTTGTGTTTTTTTGTTACAGATGACATAGAATGGGTTGGGTGGCGCTAGGGCGGCGTGCGGGTGGTGGCGGCCGCCTCGCACCAATCCTCTCGCTGTCTCTCGCCTCCCTTGCAAGTTCCCTTGTCTTCAGCACCTTCTGCATTCTTACACTTGCCCTCACACTCGCCAGCCTCGTCAGTGCTGACGACATGTAAGCAATTTTTACCACAAATTTAAACGTTTAATATTTTTTATTCAGTTTAAGTTCTATTTTTATTAATTTCTATTAATTAGGCAATAAATTATTAATCAATATTGAGGATTTTTTATTTTTGTCTGACTACAATATTGACCTATACTACTTTAGTCTAAATTATATAAAGATATAACTGTCTGACTAAAAACGATGTTTACTACTAAAACAAAAATAGTCTGATTATAACTGATTTTTATTACTTGTTTTTTAAAATTTTTTTTATTAATTTTAGTCTTTCTATGATTTACTTGTTCTAGTGTTTTCAAATTTTTAGAAAGCTTAAACTGTCTTTAGAATGAAAATAAATAAAATAATATTTGTATAAAATAAATAAATACTTAAAAAATACCATTTTTTCCCAAAAATATTTTAAAAATTTTATGAAATTATAAATAAAATATTTTTTACTAATATTAATATTTCTATTAATAAAATATATGTTACTAATATTAATATTTTTATTAATAAAATATTTGCTACTTATATTAATATTTCTATTAGTAATTTATTTGTTACGCAATATTGTTAATAAAATATTTCCCATATATATATATATATATATATATATATAATATTTTTAATAAAAATACTTTTTTTAAATCTAACCCAGAAATATATTAATACAGTATTCCTCGTGGAAAATTTAATAAAAAAAAAATTACATTATAAAGTTAGTAAATTTTCTCGGAAAGAATGCTTTTGAGAATTTTACGCTCGACATGTATTATACCTGAACTATAATATAACGGCGGATAACTCAACAAATACTTGACAGATTGTCAGGAAAACTTTTAGAAATTGATATCCGGGGCTTTTCTCAAAGTTTCACGGGAATTTTGAAACATTGATAATATCGTGAGTTTTGAAAGGGATTTGTTTTATCGACAACTGGGCAAAAATTTATATAGTTTCCCACCAAACTATATGACCTCGAAAAGTTTCAAATATTGTTTTTCCTTCAGAAATTAATGGACATTTTGAAATTCTATAAAACAGGTGACATTTTTATTAATTATTATTTTCCTTTTTTCTATTAATAAGAAAATATTATATAAAATTAGAAACTTGTTTTTAATTTTAAAAGAATATTATCCTCGTGTTTATAAATTAATTTTTTATTTATATATATATTATATGATTTTATGTAAACTTCTTTTTTAATTTTAAGGGCAATTTCTATAATTTTATATAATTTTGGACAATTTTCTGTAAGTTTATTTAGTTTTAGGTATTTTTCTCCAATTTTCTACAATTTATGCAATTTTGTATAATTTTTTACATCTTTTTGATATTTTGTATTGTATTATTTTTATTATTTTTATTGTATTTATTTTAGAATTTATTATAGAATTTTATACTCTTACACAATTTTGGTATATTTATAGTATTTTACAGTAATATCTTATAGTAAAATTATTTATATTTATAGTATTTTTATTTATATATTTTTTACTAATATTTTTACTAGTAATTACTTCATAATTCATTTAAAAAGTAATTAATATTCAAATAATTCTCATTGAGGTAATTTAAGGTCTTAAAATTTATTCAATTTCTTCCTTTTGTTTAGATATTGAGGTGTGCATCAAATGAGAATGCATAATATAATATTGATAGAATGATTTCTCGCCGGAAAGGCGTTGTTCGTATAAAGTTTAACGGTTCATTGGTTATGAAATCAATACAAAGAGACTCTTGGGTTTATCGTGATTGATAGAAATTGCTATTCATAGTTAATAAACATTGTTTTGAATCTAAAAATTACAATATTCTTCAATTTTTTTTTTTTTTTGAGTAAAAGTAATTTTATACAGTGTTTAAAAATTTAGTTTTGTATTCGTATTATATAATTTACTTTAATTTTATTATTTCATTTATAAATAACTGAATTTTGCTAATCTGTTTTTAAAAATTTTGTAAATTTTAGTCTGACTACGATTGATCTATACTACTTTTTTCAAAATTATAAAATTCTAGAACTGTCTGACTAAATGCTGTGTTTACTACTTAAACATAAATAGTCTGACATTGACTCAGATTTACTAATCTTTTTTTTTTAATTTTTAAAATTTTTGGTTAAGTTCGATTGACCTGTACTACTTTTTCTAATTTTTTAATAGCTTGAACTGTCTGGCTAAAAAGGAGGTTTACTACTTAAATAAAAATTATACGACTACAACTGTTTTTACTACTCAGTTTAAAAAAAAATGGTAAATGTTAGTATGACTATACTATTTATCTATACTACTTTTTTTTAAATTATAAAAAACCAGAACTGTCTAACTTAAAATTTTTTACTACTGTTAATGTTTTTTACTACTTGGTTTTAAAAAAATGTGGTAAATTTAAGTCTGACTACTATTAACCTATACAACTAATTTTTTAAATTATAAAAAACTAGAAATTTTTTATTAAAGTGCCATTTACAAGTTAAATAAAAGTGGTTCGTTGTTTGTAACTGTCTGATTAAAATGTTGTTTACTACTTCAGTTCTATTTACTGCAAAGTTATTGATGTTCCAGCAATTTTTATGTATACTTACTCTATACTGCTTTTTTCTAAACTTGAAAAGAAATCTAAATCCCTTTGAGCTGCGACTATAACATACTTACGTTTATCATTGATTTAAAAAAATCCCAAAGAATTTACTTGAGAAATTCTTTTTTTTGTAGTTGGGGAAAATAATTTTGAGTCTGACGAAAAAGTGACCTATACTACTTATAATTAAATTAAAGGAATTCCATATATATGACAAACTTTAACTTCTGAAACATGATTTACATAGAATTGAAATATTTTGATCTAGAATTTTAATTTTTGACTGATTACGATTGACCTATATTACTTTTTTCTAAATTTAAAAAAACCAGAACTGTCTGACTAAAAATTTTTGTAATACACAAATTCTATTTACTGCAAACTTATTGATGCTCGAGTTTTATGTTCAGGCCTACTATTTACTATTTAAAATTAAAAAACAATCCACATGTCCAGGCTGACTAACACATGCTTTTACTACTGATTTCAAAAAATTCTAAAGAACTACAAGTTAGTGGAAAGAAGTTAATAAAATAATATATGAAGTAGACAAATAATATTAAGAAAAAATTCTAGTAAATACTCAATTTCTAAAATACATTTCGTTCGTTCGTTTATTACAGTTCCACGGTATAATTATTTTAAAGTAGTAAAAAGTTTATATTTATTCGTAAGTAAGTTGAAAAATAAATAAAAAGGAAAGCTCTCTATATAATACAATTTCACTGAAAAGCAGATTTGTCAAAATGACATTTTCGATGAAAATTTACTAGTTTTCTCTCGAATCTGAGGGAATTCCGAAGGATCGATTGAAATATCATCAAATAGTAAAGATGGTTTACATGTTCATGAGATATATAGTATACATAGTCATATATATATGTACATTCGTCTATACATGGAATGTTGGATATGTTACAGTTTCGAGGAAGGAAAATCTGACAAGGAAATTCTGGATAACCTGCTGCTGTCGACGCGGTACGACAAACGGCTTCTGCCTCCGGTCCAAGGTACACTGAGGCCCCCGCCCCACACCCGCCACGACGAGTACATCCCCGACCACGAATCCAATGACCCCGACAACCCCGAGCACCTTGAACATCACCGGCACCACTACCACCACACATCACCACACAACTACAGTTCACTGTTCACCCTTCGTCGTAAGGGTATTTCAATAAAAAAACACAACAAGTCTGATTAATAGAATTTATATAAATTCAATTTTTTTTGCAATCAGAAATTTTTATTTTTAATTTTTTTTTTTTAATTAATTATAATATTTACACAAGAAGAATAGAAAAAAAACGAGTGAACTATGTGACACGGCGAAATATATCGTATGATATTTTCTATATTACCGTTTATCAGTATAACATCTGGTGGTCTCTTCAAAGCTACACAATTGAAAACATTCATCTATATATACAGTGTATACTGTAACTGATCATGCAAAATAATCCGATTACGGAACTGGTTCTGTAATTGGATTAAATTCAATTCATCCTTTCGTTGGATTATATAGCAGACAATATCGCTTTTTAAATGTTATTTTACCGAAGGTTGCGTATATATTCGTGTGCTTAATGTTAGAAATCCCGCTTAATTTAATAATATTTATTTTTCGAGGCAATAAACCGAGGAAGAAGAGATAGAGGGGAGGTTGAAATAAATAAAAATGAATTTTTAGTAAAAGTTCGCATTTTTTTTTTGGTTCCGTAAGGAGTACTCTCTAAATTCGAATCAGTAACTTTTTGCTTTTAAATTAGTAAATTTTACTAATAAATTCGTAGAAATTACTATTAATTAGTAGAAATTATACTATTAATTAGTAAAATATTAATTCAAAAGCAAAAAGTCAGTCACTAATTCAAATTAGTAAACATTTTTACTAATTTAAATTTACAGAGTAATTAGAAAGTAATTTTTGCATTTATCGGAATTGAAAAGTTATTTTTAGAATTTATTTCTTATTTTAGATATAAAATGTCTTAGTTATAGTGTTTGACCACAATTGATGTATTTTACTTGGGAACTGAGAAGCTGTACGTGACATTAACTACTGATAGTTGATTTACGAGAGTTTGGAATATTCTGGTCTGATATTAATTGACCTTTACTACTGAAACAGGAATGAGGGAAACTAGGTCTGTCTGACTGAAAACGAAGTTTACTACTTAAATGAAAATACTTTGAATTTAATTGATTTTTAGAATACTTGATTTACAAGAATATGGTTAATTTTAGAATGACTATTCTTTTAGTCATTTTTCTAACTTTAGTACTTTCACTATTTTAAGTACTTTTAATACTTTCAGTACTTTCACTAATTTTAGTATTTTTAATACATTTAGTACTTTCCCCATTTTAGCACACATACTACTTTTAGTATTGTAGTCATTTCAGTACATTTTGTGGTAATTAAAACTTTTAGCTGACTACTGTTGACCTATACTAATTTTTTTTAATTCTAAAAAGCTATTACTGTCTGACTAAAAACAATCTTTACTACTTATGCAGAAATAATCTGAAATTAACTGATTTTGTCTACAAGGTATTTAAATTTTTTTTTATGTTTTTGTCTGACAACGATTGATCTATACTACTATTTTTTTTACTTCCGATAATTGATTCTTGGAAAAATGAAATATTTCAGTCCGACACTTATTGACCTTTACTACTGCGAATAGAAATACAAAACAAGAAATGTCTGACTAAAACCGTCGTTTACTACTAACAGTAATTTTATTTTTACCACCGAAATTCTACAAATGTTTAATTGTAGTCTGACTAGAGTTGACCTATGCTACTTATTCGAAATCACTACAAAATAGGATTTGAATTACAACAAAAATTCTGTTTGACTCAAAACGAAATTTTTTACTTTAAAAAAATAGTCTGAATTGAATTAACTTCTACTACTGATACTAGATTTATTATTAGTAGTGATTATAGTACTGGAAATTCTAACTCTTTAGTCTGACAATAATTTTCATTTACTACTACGAATAGAATAGAACTACTATATTTATTTCTTTTTCTAAAAATAAAACTGTCTGACTAAAACCAGAGTTTTCTACTTAAATAAAAATAGTCTGACTAAAAATGTGTTTCACTACTGACACTCTAAATTACAAGAATACTTACATGAAATATTTATTTCTCGACAGCACGTACAACATTTTAGAAGGTAATATTTTTCAAAATTTTCTGTCTAACTTTACTAACAAAAAAAAACAAAAAAAATGTTAGATTAGTTTGTCCCGGTTCTAGAAAATACTTGTGTTTATTTAATGCGTCTAACTATTAAGCTTGACAACAATCACTGCACCGGCTTCAGACACAAGTGGGCATTGTCTACAGTACTATATCTCAGAAGCGCCAAGGGTCCTCTTTCTGATTTTAGTCGTTATCTAAAAGTTCAACAAGATCCTTCACAAATAATCACCAACAAACACAATTTATATTTAATATATTTTTCGGTATGCATTTTAAATTTTCCCCTCTCCATTTGCATTTATCTACATAATCTTTCGATATTTTTGGTATTAAAATTTCGAAAAACAGTTGCAAAAAAATTTATATTTAATATATTTTCCGATATGCATTTCAAATTTTCTCCCCTCTAGTCTATTTGCATTTATATACATAATATCTTTCGAATTACTATTTTTATACTTAAAATTTAGAAAAACTGTTACTCAAAAATTTAAAAAAAAATTCTTTTTTTTAATTTTTATTCTTCATTTTGATTATTACTTGACAGTAAAATAAACTTATTTATTTATTAAAAGTTATATTTGAAGAAGTATCGAAAATTTATTGAAAAAGTAATGAAACATTAAAAGATAGGTGATCATTTTATTTCAAAAATAAAAAATGGCCCTGAAAACACTAAAAAGTGTATAGAAAAAATGAAAAGTAATAAAATAAAAATTATTTCTAAGAAAATGGAATAAAAATTTATGTCTGAAAAATTAAAATTCCAACTAAAAATAAAAATCGTTTCTAAAAAGTATAAAATTGTGTCGAACTAAACAATAAAAATTAATTTATTAATTTTTCTAAGTAAACAAAAGTATTATTGAAAAAAAAATTGAATTTTAATTTCGCCGTGTCTCTAGTCACTTGTTTAAAGCTTTGCTGAGCAAAGCTTTATCGAGGTATTGAAAACAATGCTGCAACAAAAAAAGCCTGCTAACAGCTTGCAGCTATCAAGCGTAGAAAGTCTACACGAGTAATTTTTATAGTCGCCACGAATTAGCTTTAAAATTTTCTCCCATGGAGCACTCTTGCCCTCTTATAAAAATTTTTCTTATCAATTTTCTAGAGAAAAAAAAATATTTACTACTTCTTACATCTACTATTGTGTTCCATTTCTTTATTAGACTTTATTCCAAAAAAAATATATTATTTTGAAAAACACACAATATTTTTCCAATCCCTTCTTAAATAATAATTAAATAAATTTTATTACAATTTATTTCTTTACTTGAGAAAAGAACTAAACAACTATTAATTTTATTTTTTTACTTTCGAAAAAAAGGAAAGAAAACTATTAATTTTTTTTATTTACAGTAATAATAAACTATAAAACAATATAAAAAACTTTGAAACACTGTTAATTAAAATTTACCATTTAGAAATAAAGAGCAATTCATTTAATTTTTTCCTTTTCTTGAAATAAATAATTTAAATTGCTTTTATTTAGTAAGAAAAAAAGATTCACTGGATATTTTCAATTTTGCTATTTTTAGAAATTGATTTCTTAACGTAAAATAAGTACGAGCATGAATAAATCTTTTAGTTACTGAATATTGTTTCCTCGGACAGAGAGAGAGAGAGAGAGAGAGAGAGAGAATGGGAGGAGAAGAGAAGGAAGAGGGAGAGTTGGGGTGAGAGAGATAGTTGTCTCATCTGCATTAAAATCCAATCAGAGCTAGAAGCATTGCCGAATCACACTGGATTTTAGAATTGTAATTGAATGCGCGCTGCTCCACTTTACTTTATTATTAAAATAAAAAAAAAGTTTTCTCAGGGGGTAGGAGTGCTCCGTACAACGAACAGGAACCACGAACGAGCAAAATGATATAAAAAAAAATAAAAAACAAACTGTCCGAGAGAGGAGGATATCGTGTTCATCTTTATAAAATGACACGCTTTTTTTCCCCCTTAGTAACAAAAAAGCAGATAAGTGGATTCAAGTTGAAAGTTAAAGAAATTTTTTTTTATTATTATTATTACCAGAGAATTCTTAGAATTGTCAAAGATAAGATGAACTGAAAAAAAGAAGGTTACCGTCAAGATAGAAGCAATTAGGAAACTTTGTCAAATAAGTTACGCTCAATTAACACCAGAAAACATCAATTTAATTTTCATTTTTTTCCCGTCAAATAAAAGAACATTCTTTGTCACAAATTTTTACAGAAGAATTCTTTTTAGATTTTTTCCTCTCGGAGTAAATTGATCGATAGAGAAATTTGTCAGTTTAATTAAATTTCCTTTTTTTTGAAAATAAATTAATTTTCTCAACTATTTGAAGAAGAAAAATTTCAGTACTATTTGAAAAGCGAGGAAATAAATTTCTAGAAATTAAAATAATTAATTCTTTTATTTAATTTAAAAAAAAATTCCTTTCAAATTTGGAAAAATTAAAAATTATTCTCTGAAGGCTAGAAATAATTTCTTATTTCTGACCCAGTTTTTGTCGACCGAACATTATATGATGTCAAATATTTTTTTTTATTGAAAGAGAAAGAGTGAGTGATGGCGGTAAAATGAATTAAAACTCACGAAGTGTACGGTTAAGTTTTTAGTATACAGGAATGAAATAACAAAAGTCATCCAAAAATACAGAGAATGGATTCTTGAGAATAATAAGAAAGTGGTTCAGTGGATAAAGCCAGGAGAGTTAGTTGGATGAAAAAAATTGCTTGGTACAAAATTCATTACTCGTAATGGAACAACTAAACTTTTGGAAATAGAAAAAAGAATTAAAAAGTTTTTTTTCAATATATTTTAAATTGAAAATTCTTCTTTTATCGACCAGAAAAAAATTCGTTTGTAATGGAACAACTTATTTTCTGTAAATAATGAAAGAATTGAAAAAAACGTTAGATAAACATTTTGAAAAATCCTATTAGAAAAATAAAAATTCGTATCTTTCGAATTCAATCAGTTTTCGAATTCAAAGAGCATTGTCCCCTTGTCAATGAGTTAAATTAGATTGAGAATAAGTAAACCGAATATTTTAAATAAAGATTCGTGAAATCCTCTTCTCTCGTATATGCGAATCAATGCTTCGCACGTGTTTGAACAGTACTAGCTGAGATTGAAAAATACCTATATATATATATTGTACATACCTCACAATGGCATGAGGGAACTATTTTACATTTATTAAATTTTTTTTTTCATCATCACAAGTGAAATACCATTAACACTCAATTTCAGACAAATTTTCTTTTTTTAGGGAATATTTCTATATATAGTCATTTTCTAATAATTACTTTTCTCGTATATGTGTGTTTCTAAATAAAAAATAAAATTATATTTTTAGTTACATAAAATTATTAAATACAACATAAAAATAAAATTCTTTAATCGCAAAAGATTGAAAAGTTTTATTTCTTTTGTTGATTTATTTAAAAAATAAAATTTCAAATTATGTAAAAGTATTTTATTCAATGTGGAAAGAAATGAAGAAACTTGGGAATAAATTTTAAAAAAGGGAAAATAAATGGGAAAAAAAATTAAAATGTGTGCAAAAAAGTGAAAAGATTTCTGAAAAAAATAAAAATAAGTGCAAAAACAGTAAAAATAATTGCAAAAAATTTAAAATGAATGAAAAAAATGAAAATGAGAGGAAAATAAAATAATTGAAAAATTAATGACGAAAGAAAAGAAATTTAATTTTTTATTTAGAAACACACGATTTTTATACTATAATTTTTTCTCTATTTGATAAATAATAATGTAGACATTTTTTCCATACACTAATAGGATTGATGCATATAATAGAAAACACATTTTATTAAAAAAAAAGAAAATTGTTCAATTGGCACATTTGAATAATTTCTTTTTTTTATGACAACAATCGCCTCAAAGGGACAATTTCTTTCAGTTTTTTTGGCAATTTTTTCATTTTCAGTTAAATTTCCATTTTAGATGCAAACGAAAATTCTGAATTGTGCCTAAAAAAAAATTAAATAAAATCTAAAGTTTAAGAAAAAATTTCTTTTTAAAAAAATCGAAGCAAAATACAATTTTAAAAATATGTCACTAAATTAATTATTTGTATAATTTGAAAAATTATTTACGGTGCTTAAAATTTCTTTTGAATTGAAGAAATGGGAAAAATTTTTTTATTTGGGACGAAAATAATACCAAAAACTGAAGGAAGCTTGCCCTTTGAATGTTGAACCCTGAAAGACAAATTTTTTTGATGACAACAGGTACAATAAGGTAGTGGTCAGGTGATACATTTCTTTATTATAATAAAAAAAATATTTTTTCATCTTAAAAATATTTTTTCAAATAATTAAATTTAAAAGTAAGAAATTACCAAATTAAAAATATTTTTTCAAACGATTAATATTAGCAAGAAAAATTACAATGTTAAAAAGTATAGAAATTAAAAATGTACGTAATTACAAAATTGAAAAATTAAAAAAGTATACAAAATTTGAAAATTAGAAAATTTAAAGTTAAAAAGTACAAAATTAGAAACTTTCAAAACTGCAAGAGTAAAAATATAAGACTTGAAAAGGCACAAAATTTGAAAATCTAAAAAATAGAAAATTACAAATACAGAAAAAAAATTCAGAAATTACAAAATTTTAAAATTTCAAGAGTTAATACTCTTGTAATTTTAAAATTTTACAATACAAATAGAAAACTTGAAAAGGTATAAAATTACAAAATTACAAAATTACAAAATTACTAAAATTACAAAAATTACAAAAATTCAAAATTACAAAAATGTAAAAATTTTTTGAATTAAACACATGAAAATTGAAAAGGTGCAAAATTAAAAAATTAAAAATCTAAACATTGAAAAGGTATAAAATTACAGAATTAAAAAAATTGCAAAATTACAAATTTACAGAAGTAGAAAAAGTACAAAAATCTAAAATATATCAAAAATTAATAATACAAAAATTAAAAATGTGCGAAATTAAAAATTAAGAAAGTCAAAATTATAAATTAGTAAAATTTAGAAATTACAAAATTAAAAGTATAAAACAGTACAAAATTAAAAAAAATTACCCGATTGAAAAATTGCAATAAAAAAAATTATTAATTGATTAAATTACAAAATTGAGAATTGACATAATTAAGAAAAATGAAGAAAATTAAAAAAAAATAAGTAAAAATTTCACACAAAATTGAAAATACAAAAAAAAGTATTTTCGAAAAAAAAGAAAAAATGAAAAAAAAGTGGGTATTGCAACGTGGGCAAGGGCTGTTGGGTGTTACAGATGCGGATTTCTGCTGCGGAATGCGATGGCCTGGTGATGCGACCGAAGTGTCTAATCGGTCAACAACCGCTTACGACCCCAATGAGAACAACAACCAGAACAAAAACCAGTACACGCAGCACGAACTCCATCGCACTCACCTTCGCGGTCCGTCCCACTGCTAATTTATAACCTATATAGATAATCCTTATCACCATTTTTGCAAAAAAAAAAAAAAAATATGGAAAAAAATATATAATAACCCTATCGCTCTTCACATTCTATTGCTGATCAAGCTGTCTGATCGATAACAACTCTCTTACTACTACTTATTTTTCCATCGCTTCAAAAATGTCAGTTTGATAATAATTCATTGTCAAAAAATGTTTCCATTTTTGTGCTCTATTTATAGAAAAACGTTTCGTATTATCAAACATGTCAAACGGATTTCAAGTTATGTCGAGCGAGAATATCTTGTAGAGATTAGTTTTATTTACCCAAAAAAAAAAATGTTTTTTTTTTATTTTCTTTTTCACAAGTATTTCGAGTATTTATTTTTATTTCTGATTTTGAAGTAGAGTAGAATAAATAGTTTAGTTTAAACTCTATAGGTAAAGCTAAAATTAATGATGATTTATTTTAAAGTAAAACAATAATAAAATAAAAAACGTATTTTAAATACGTTTTTTAAACAAATTATTTGTTCTATTTATAATGAAATATATTTATAATTTGAAATTAAAAAAATATTTATTCGCCTTTTTTAAATATAGAAAGAATTATTTATTAATTCATAAATTAAAATTTATAATTATTTAGTATTTACTCTAATTTTTCTATATTTATTTTTCTGTATTTTTATAATTTTTATTATAATAAATATTCAAAATTTATTTTGAATAAAAATAAAATTTGGAATAAAAAAATACTAAGTATCTATAATTACCTTGTTTCAAATATTAAAAAAATAAATTATTTATTAACCTTTTTATACAAAATTAGATAATTTACTTCACTTTGCATCGTAGAATAAAATAAAAAAATGCAGTGTTTTCGATATTCAATAGTAACTAAAACAAAAATTACTCAATAATGGCTAAAATAATTTATATTTGAAATATTTTTTTCTCTCTCAAACAATATTTTACAAAAATTAACTTTTAATGCAAAAATTTTAAGAAGTATCGAAGACAGCTTGAATCAGGAATAAAAATCTGTTCTTTAGAGAAATTGTTCATTTGAAAATATAAAAAATGAAAATTTTAAACATTGACAAAATTAAATTTTTATTTTTTGACAGTATATAGCATAATAATTGTATCTGTCAAAAAATAAAAATGTTCAATCTCGCTTTTGATGTACATTGATGTTTACTAGATTCTATCAACTTTTTAAATTGTAAAAAATTTGTATTAAAAACATAAAAAAAGTAGTAATAATAAATTTTATTTTATCACTTTTTGGATGTTTTTTATTTGAAGAATCAAAATTTTTGAAAAATAAAATTTAAGTACGGAATTTTTATTCAAACTTTTTTAATGTAAAAGTTCGACCTGTATTAATAAATGAATAAAGTATAAATAATTCAAACCACAAATTAGTAAATAAATTAATAATTTAGTATTATTTAGTTATTTATTTTTTATATTCAATTCAAAAAATAAGTAAATTAAAAAATGTAATTGAATGGCATTTAATTATTTATCTACTAATTTTACTTAATCATTTATTTAAACAGTGAACGGACTTACAAATTAAAGTGCCCTTCAGGCATTTATCATTTACTGTAATAAATAATTATAATAATAAATATTTCGATTTTACATATAAATAATAATAAAAAAAAGTAAATTTAATAAAATCTATACTCTATTTTTATCTGTATTAAAGTAGAAATAGTAAAAATAGAAAAAATAGTAAAACTAAATAGTAAATTAAATTTAAAATAAAAAATTAAACTAAATAGTAAATACTAAATAGAAAAACTTAGAAAAAAAATAGTAAAAATCCCATTTTGAAATAGTAAAAAACTAAAAATACTGGAAAAACAATCGCAAAAATTACAAAAGTGATAGAAAATCTAGTTAATATTTCATGAAATCCATATTTCCCCTCTCCTTTCATTATCCAAATTTTGCACGAACACTTCCGTTCAACACAAACACAAATACCTCTCGAGCCATAAAACAAAGACATTGTCATTATATTTTCTCTCTCTCTCTCTCTCTCTCTCTCTCTCTCTCTCTCTCTCTATATATATATATATATATAAATGGTAGAAATGTGAAATATCCTCTACATTATGAAAATTTGCACTGACTCTTTAATAAATTAATTCTCATTCCTCGCGCGCTTCAAAAACTTCCAATTTGTGTTTTCGTGTGTGTGTGTGTGTAATTGTAACATTAACATCTCTCTTGAAAGTCACTTGCAATGTTTTGAAAAGAGGAGAAAATTTCATCTCAAACTTAATAAACGTATAAGTATAATATAACATTATGAATTTTGAGAGAAGTTGCACTATAAATTTAAATATATTATTTCAAATGTGTTTTAAAGTAGGTTGTGTCTTTTGTTTACAATATTGTTAGTGGCAAGCTTAATTAAGAGAATAATTATAAAAGAGAACATTGCAAGTGACAATTATTCAATTTTTGAATAATGAAAAAATATACTTATCACTATTGTTATTTTGTTTATGTGCGCAGGAATGTCGATGTTTAAACGCTCTGCACTGAAAACAAAATATTTTTTTATTATTCATCTTTTCTCAATTTTGAATCCATTTTCCATACTTTTTGTCTCGAAAATCAAAAAATTCTTCTTCGATTTTCTTGGAAGAGATATTTTTTGGTTTTCGAAAATAGTTTCATTTCTGTTTATTTTATTCTGTATTTGTTTTTATTTTCTATTTTTTTCATTTTCTATTTTTATTACTTAGTTCATTTTTCATTCTGTTTCTTCATTTTTATTTTACTTTACATATTTTGTATTTTATTTTTATTTTACTTTGCATTCTGAATTTTTTATTTTACTTTTATTTATTTACTTATTATTTATTCAAAATATACAAGCAGAGAATTTTTGCATTTTAGTTTCAATTTTTTTTATTTTTTATTTTTATTTTATTTTGCGATTGGTATTTGTATTTTTTCCATTTTCATTTTCATTATTTTCATATTTATTTTCATCATTATGTTTACTTTAATTTTTTTCAGTTTGATGATTGTAATTTTTTTTTCCAATTATATTTGTCGAGATTGAAATTATTTCGTTTCAACAACATAATACACAAATATACCATGTCTATTTATTAGAAAAGAAAATCAATAATTATTGGAGTAAATTATTTTTTTTTCTCGATTAGAAAATGAGGATTTTTCATTCATCAGTTTATCGAATTTTCCATATGCGAGTTACTTGATATTACTGAGCTTAACGATTAATTAAAGTCCCTCACGATAAAAGAATTTAATTATTGGATTCAAAGAATTTCAAACCTAGAGACTGAGATTTGAAGTACAATTCTTTTTTCCCTTTTTTTTATTCAATGTTCTCGATCAATGTCGTAAATTCAGATATATGTAAAAACGAATTGATTTCTTATTAATTGTTCCAGAAATATAAATCGGAATTTTTCCTGCTGTACTTTATTATTCATTTTACAATTTTTTAATAGATACTTTTTAATTGGTCAGTTTTTATTAATGTTTAATTGAGAGTAATGTGTAGTAAGATTACCTAATTATAATTAATTTCGAATCTTGGTTCAAATTTTGAGAAAAATTTATTTTTTGACAGTAGAAAAAATTATTTTTAGTCAGACAAACATTTAAATTACATTTAACATATTATAAGTAGAAGAAATCACTTTTTGTTTGAGTGTAAAAATTTTTACTTACAAATTTGCCAAAAAACGTTTTTAGTGAAAAATATAGTTACAGACAGATTTAATTTTCTTTATTTTTATTTTCAATTGTCAAATTCTTAAATTCCAAGTAGTAAAAGCAATTCATTGTCAGATTGTAGAAAATGCAACTTACAAATTAAAAAAAAATCTTTTACCAAATTGCAGAAAATTAGTAGTAATAGAAAATTTTAGTCAGACACCAAAATTTACAATCTAGGAGAGCAATTAAAAAGAAATATTCTACCGAATTTCAAGAAATTAGTAGTAATAACAAATTTTAGTTAGACGAAAAACACAATTTAGAAAGAAGAAAAAAAAATTACAGAAAAATATATTAGGAAAAACATTAATTGTCACATATTTTTTGTCCGCAAAACCTGTACAAACACATAATAAAATGTAAATTAAGTATAACGATTTTGTCAACGAGTCAAAGTAACGACCTTGTAAACCTATAAAAACCTTGAAATGTTCTGTAAACGATAAAAAAAAAAATTCCCTGTCTAGCTTTAAGCTTTTACCTACATTAAAAATGTAGGTAAAATATGATAAATATATGCAAAAAAAGCAACGCTGAAATTATACTGTGTGTTGGTGAAAACAAAAGCGTGCAACTCAACAACAACAGGATTATGAATCTGTATTCCGATAGAATTACGTGGTCGCTGGCAATAGCAAAACCCTTATCAAATTGCATGGCTTGTTTCGTGCTCAGCGGATCATAGGGTTAATGCCTGTTACCCAACTCCTTATATATATATCCCGTGAAAACGTCAACGTTTCACCGCATTTTTTGTCAAATATCATTCATATCGATTACTTTTTTGCTTGAATTTTTTCTCCTGTCATAACTCATTGAGTTCAAATGCTGATATATTTATTCACCTCTTTAAAATAATGTCATTCTAAAAACTTGATAAAAAATTTCATTTTTCACCTCTTTAAAATAATATAAATTTCCTTTCCTTTTTCAAAATAATGATTTTTTCATAATAATCCTTTTATTACCATTTTATAATAATGTCACTTTTTTTTCTCTGTAAAATAATATTAATTATCGTTTTTCAATAATGTCGAGTAAATAATTCAATAAATATGAATGTCTGACTAAATTGGTTTTTACTACTGATAGGAGAAAAAAATTTACGGGAATCATAAAGATCCGATTGTTGATGAAATTTTTTTACTACCGCTTGCTACTAAAATTACAAGAATTGTAAACATTTTGTCTGATTGAAGCAATCTTTTTACTACTGAT